GAAAGAGATGACAAAACGCCTCTTAGTACAGACTGAGGGGGAGACTTTCAGTGAGTGGAGTTTGGAGCAGCTTTGTGGAATGAAACCTGGAGTGTTACAGTGGTTAAACTGTGGTTATAAATTTCCTCGACAAGTCAAGATGGCGATTCCATTTCAAATTAATTTTAGTTACTGGACAAGGTCTCATTCATTTAGTGTGACACATTGGGCCACAAGTAAACAATGATGTCACATAATTTTTTTTAATCCTCATCCTAACTCAAGGATTTTTATTGATTTTTTTTTAGAGAGAGAAGGGAGAGAGAAACATTGATGTGAGAGAGAAATATCAATTGGTTGCCTTCTGTAAGTGTCCTAACCAGGGAATCAAACCCTCAATCTTTTGGTGTATGGGATGGCCTTCCAACCAACTGAGCCACCTGGCCAGGGTAAATGTCATATAATTTTAATATCTGAATAAAGCACAAGGCTTGTAATAGCTTAGAGACTTAGTAGGCTGAGTTTTTTAAAAGTTATTTTATATTATTACTGACATATTGAGGCTTAACTTCCATAGTTCAGTTGGTTAAATTTACAATTTAATAATTTCGATTTAAAAAATACAATTTCATCCTACAAGCAATTATCCCCCTGGGAGCTCATAAAAGCTGGCCTTTTCTTTCCGCAGCATATGAAAAACTCCTGCTTTGGATGCAGGCCTCATACTCGCCCAGCTGGTGCTGGGAAGTGTCGTGAATTCACAGGAAATGCAGAAGCTGGGAAATCTAAACGTTCCCTTATTGGGCATTGTTCTAGCATCTTAACATAGAACAGCTTCCCACTATGGCTATAGTTATGGTTTCAAAGTAGTAGTGAAGCTCTAGGGACACTTGAGAGATTGGTTCTCCCAATTTTTCAATTTTATGAAATTCCTAAGAAGTGAGAGCTTGGCCCCACCCTGACCCGAGGGCAGCCAGTGGCAGCTGCCAGCCCCTTACCTGAGAGTTCCAGCCTGTCCCCCGGAGCTTCGCCCTTGGGCTTTGGGCCCGAGGCTGGGGGCATCTCTAGGTTTGGAATTGACTTCATG